AGAGAGAGAGAGAGAGAGAGAGAGAGAGAGATGTTATTTTAAAATAAATAAATCAATTATAAATTTTTGATTATTTTTTATTCAAAAAATATAATAAAATGCATTTATAAAAACGTGGGATGTTTGAATGTTTATGAAATAACAAGATGTTACAAAAAATGTTATACAAAATGTTATACGAAATGTTATACGAAAGTAATATTTCATTGAATTTACGCATTTTAAATGTTTGTTTAAAATTATTGCATTTATATTTCAAATAATTGCTTATATTTAAGAAACATCTTATATTATTATTTTAATTTAATTGAATGTTAAGTAGCGAAATTACTTTAGCAATTTACTAAACTTTATTCAACAATTTACAAATTTACAAACAACTCGACTAGTTATAATACAGTATAGAAATGAATCTAAATGCAAATGAACTAGCTACTTTACGCACAGTTTGGGATGCTTATTCAGCCGATTCTATCAGTAACGGTTGCGATTTATTTATAAGGTAATTATTATTTAACTTTACATGATTGAATTTATTTGAACTAAATATAATTATCATTAAAATAATGTAATATTACATAAATTAACAGATTATTCAAAGAAAATCCAACATATATTCAATGGTTCCCGAAGATTGGCCCCAATCTTAAAAACGACCCGGAGGTTATCCGTATAAGTCAGACCGATATACGGTGGGTATCGCGGTTTATCGATGCTGCCATCGCTGGTGATAACCAGGGCATAAGTAGATACTTGCGTAAACTAGCAGGGTGTCATGTCAGAGCAAAAGTAAACGAGGTGATGTACGATGTATTCAAAGAGTGCATACTGAGTGAATTGGTGGAAAAATTAGGTCCCAGTGTTATGACGGTTGATACGGTACAATTGTGGGATAGATTTTATAGTGATATACGAGTGGCAACTTTTCCTTCGCCACAGTCTAATTAGTTATGAACTATAAATTAAACTTATTAAGTACAATAATTGTATTTTATTTAGTTAATTAATTAATTAAACTAATATTTTATTAATGATGTGTGTTTTCAATTTTGTCAAACAAGTTATTTAAACTTGTTTAATTTATTAAATTTTTATATGTTTTATAAAAATATTTAATATAATTTACTAATGATTAAGAATTTTTACTAATTTCTGTTGAAATAATTTTAAGAATATTTAATTTAAAGTGCTAAGTTTATATAATGTTAAAACATATTTTAGTAGATTAAAAAATAAGAATTTTTATGAGAAAGAGAGAGAGAGAGAGAGAGAGAGATTTTACAGTGTAATGTCAGATGCTTACAAGAATTACAAAATTAACAAGAATTTAATTTACCTAATAAATAATTCATTTCCATTGCTCTCAATGTTTGTCAAATATACGTCCCATGAGCTACGCAATGTAGCTAATTCATCTTGATTTAGCACATCCATTAAATGTTTTCCTAATTGATTATTTGTAAATTGTTTAATAATTTATTCTGTTTGTTATATTTAAACATGTTTGTTATAGACTAGATATTTATATAAAAATATTAGACAATTATTTTAATTGTAAAAATTGTATTTAATGTTAGAAATAATATTTATTTTAAATATTATCAAATAGTGTACAGGGTGTATATTATATTTAGTACTATTGCATGTAATAAAACGTTTAATTTTAATTTATATGAAAATTTAATAAGTTTGAAAATTCAACACATTTTATATTAATTGAGTATTAAATGAACTTTATTTTCCTGCTATTGAAAGTTATTGTTGTATTCACTAAGAAGCTTGATTAAACAAAAATTCAGCTTTTTAAGACACTATATTTTCAATTTTTAAATTATAGTAGATCAGGCATTTGTAATGCAAATTTAATAAACTCTGGTGTATTCAAACATGAATTAAGTATACTTTACACTTGTATAATCACCAATTTGTTTTCTTAAATATTCTTTAAAAATTATCCATATTTTCGAAATTATAGTAGTTTTTATGGTATAAGTTGCATTGACTTAATGCTATAAAATAGTACTAAGTATCATATACACCCTGTACATTTACCATAAACATGTTTATTTAATATTTCATAATATGAAATTTTTATAATAAAGAACTACCTTTGTTTTAGTAACATTTAATATATTTATGCAACATTCTTGATATATCTTGCATCTTCTCATGTTTATTAAGTAATATTGAGAACAAGTACAATATGTGTATGGTTGCACTGTGGTAAAATAGTTGTTAAGTCATAAGTCAGTGTGTTTATTTTATAAAATAGATGAATAAGTTGACTTTGATATATTCCATAGAATAAAGATTATTTGATAACAATGATTTATTAGTAATTTACTGTATCCAAGGTTAGTTGCAATTATATTTAACAGTATACAGTATACGTAAAGTTATATGGCAGTATTCTGTATTCTTGAAAAATTGATTTATTTATAAAACATAGTTTTTTATAACCACGTGTACCTATTGTTTTATGACCACAAGTTATTTAATAAAAATCAAGGCAATTCAAGTATAATTTGAAATATAAGTATTTCTTTATAATTTATTAATTTTTCTGTATAATTAGATGTTCCTATACTTCAACTAACACTTACATACAGTTACATACAGTTACATACAGTACATGTATCTTATAATAAAGTTTGGACATAAGTTATGTGAAATAACATTATGATTTATATTTTAGATATAATAGATTATCTTGGGAATATTTGTTTTAGTTGGATGATGGTCAAGGACATTTATTCTCTCTCTCTCTCTCACTCTCTCTCTCTAACTTATATTATTTATTGTAATTAAAACGAGCAGGTTGTTTGACGAAAACCCCACATTCATCGCGTGGTTTCCAAAATTTAATTGGCCTGAAAAGGAACTCCGCGGCAACGATGCGGTCATCCGTAACGGTATCTCAGACCTGGAGTTTGTGTCCAAAATCATTGACAGTCTCGTCGAACAGAGTCCGGAAGAGACCCGCAAACTAATACGCAAACAGGCCGGCTGTCACAATAGCCACAAAGTGACCGAGGGCATGTTTGACAGAATGAGACTGTGCGTGCTGGGTGAATTGAACGATAAATTGGGCCCCAATGTTATGACCGATGCTACTCAGGCTGCCTGGCATAAATTCTTTAAAGTCTACATAGCGGCTCTTTACCCAGCTTGATCATTTCTAAAAAACATTTTGCCATATATATTTTAATGACAATTTATTTGTAATTTACAACTAATTTTTTAATGATTAATTTCTATTAAAAATAAACATTTAATGAGTTATCATAACTGTGTAGAATTATTTTTATTTTGCTTTTAAATTTTATTGTTGATAATTTTAAATATTAACAAAATACATATCAATATTTTCATATAAAAACTGTAATAAAATATTTTAAATATATTTTATGGGAATAAGTAACAAACTTTGAAAAACATTTGTATAGTTTTAAGATTAGATTTAAGTTTAAATTATAAGAGTGTATAAAACAGCTGTCAATGTATTGCAATACAAAAGGGCTATCAATGAGAGTGTATATTAAATATGAGCTCAAAGAGTGTGTATAAAAAGGACTATAAACATAAATAGTACCATGGTACAAAAACAGCGCTGTAAAATGGTTAATCAAAATATGATCATAAAGTGTATGATAGCCCGATTCCTTTTTTTATTCACAAATTTATTTATTATCACGCGCTTGAAATATTTAACTTCAAATAAAACAATAATTTATTTCAATTTATGTTCAGGTAAGAGTACAGACAGAGGATTATTTATAGATTTAAAATTGTATAATGTCATTTTGATGTTAATTAATTATAAATAAAATTTTGTTATGGGCATTATTGTTTTTTGTTGTTGTTAATTTAAAATAAATATTACATTAAAATGCATACAATATTAATCGTATGTGAAATATTCTAGAGCTTTCAAATAGTGAGGTAATAATTTCTCGGAAATTTTATAACAATTTATTAAATTCATATTAAATGCAATACAACTTTATTATAATATACAAATATCTTTACAAATACAAACATTGCTAATTAAGATA